AGACATGTACGAATGAAAAATGCTGCCGAATTTTATATATATATATATATATATATATATATATATATATATATGAAGAAATATACTCTTAAGTGTGCTATATTTATAGAATAAAGTGCTCAATATCAGAGAAAGAGCGTGTGAAAATATAAAAGTGAACATTGAATATATATATATATATATATATATATATATATATATATATATGAAGAAATATACTTTTATGTGCTATATTTATGGAATAAAAGTGCTCAGTATCAGAGATAGAGCGTGTAAATATAAAAGTGAACATTGAATATATATATATATATATATATATATATATATATATATATATATATATATATAATAAAAGGCTTAAACACTAATATTCCATGGTCATAATTTATTCCATTGGAATCGTAAATACGATCCAAATCATCAGACCTACAAATTCAAAATGAAAACAAAAAAAACAACTCCGGAAATCAAAACAGAATTTAGAGAAAGTGTAAGTATGAGGATGAGTGACATGAAACCTTAACAGAGAGAATTTTTGGAGATGTGGGTGGGGTGGATTTAAAAAGAGGAGAGAAAGAAAGTCGACGGATGTCTAATACATAAAGATACATTTCGTGGTGACATATACACACCACAGACAATTCGGATAGGAAGGGAAAAAAAAAAAAAAAAAAGGGAAAGGGTGGGGGAGAGGGATGGGACGAAGGAAAATAAAATTGTGTTTACTTAAAGGGCCGCTTTGTAATTGGGAAAATAAATTAAATCAAATATAAATATATGAAGATGAATATAACGAACCAAATATTTCTATGTTCAAAAACACATACTAATACACACAAAAAAACATATACAAGTAGGTACATACACTTAGGCATGTACACACACACACACCCAGACATACGTGTACATACACATGCACACACATACACACATATATATATATATACATATATATATATATATATATATATATATATATATATATATATATATATATATATATACACAAACACATATATATATATATATATATAAAACCTAAAAATATATTCACATATCCACACATACACATATTCATCTATATTCATATACACACACTTTTCACATACATATACACGCATACATATATATATATATGAAGAAATATACTCTTAAGTGTGCTATATTTATGGAATAAAGTGCTCAATATCAGAGATAGACCGTGTGTAAATATAAAAGTGAACATTGAATATATATATATATATATATATATATATATGAAGAAATATACTCTTAAGTGTGCTATATTTATGGAATAAAGTGCTCAATATCAGAGATAGACCGTGTGTAAATATAAAAGTGAACATTGAATATATATATATATATATATATATATATATATATATATATATATATATATATATGAAGAAATATACTCTTAATGTGCTACATTTATGGAATAAAGTGCTCAATATCAGAGATAGAGCGTGTGTAAATATAAAAGTGAACATTGAATATATATATATAAAAGTGAACATTGAATATATATATATATATATATATATATATATATATATATATATATATATATATATATATATATATATATATATATAAGGAGCTGTGATACAGCGAAACAGTACTGTCTATGAATGACATAATTTAGTTCTTGAAAATATATTTTCACTGTTGTATGACAAGCTATTTCTAAAAACAACGGCCAACTGCGTAAATAATCCAATAGAGAAATAAATAAACTTTCACCAATAACACTTTGCAGTCCGCTCTAGCTTACGGCCATATCACGTTACAAAACCGGTTCCCGAACGATTACCGAACTTAAGCAATATCGAGTCTACTCACTAAGTAGTTGTGTAACCACTTGGCAATACCAGGTGCTATAAGCCTGGATCTTTGGGTGGTGTAATAGAGAATAGCTCGGAATTGGTAATTGGGGAACAATCTGTTCATATTTATGTATGTATGCATGTATGCATGTATGTATGCATGTATCTATCTATCTCAATCTTATATCTGGTAATTTTTCAAAAGTGTTCCCAAAAGCAGATATTTTGTACTTTAAATAAGAGAAAATTATTATATATGGTTAAAAAAGTGAGACATGATTTAGTATTATGACAAAAAGAACAAAATCATCTTATGATTAAATTTTGCTCTCGTCAAAATATCCTCTTTAGTCTTGATTACTGCAAAACAATCTTTTGATCTTCGTTGCAAAAAAATTCTCAAAGTACAAGTGTGATAATTGATTCCATTCTTTTTTTTTTCAATGACTCTTTTTCATTTTTTTGGAATGGAAAGGATTCATTATTCTGTCTAGTTCATCCCCCGCTAATTCTGGGGGGTGACATCAAACATTTGAACTGTAGTGTGCATGGTTTCACAAGATTGTCAGGCGAATTCTTTGCTGTACTGAACTTCAACTCAAGTGTCAGAAGAAAGGTCGGTCCATTCTGACTTCTGCCATACATTCTCTGCTACAAGAATCAGATGGAGTCTTGCGGCCTTATATAGATTGAGCCTGCTCACTCATTTCTTTCCATTGCGTTTAGGCGGCTCTGTTGGAGGAACGTACCAGGTCTGATCAAAAAGTATAGGGAATATGCTCTGGTAACGGAGGGGGAACTACACAGAATGACGCCGATTGGCATGAATTGACTTTGAAACGTGTCGAGTATACAGACTAAGTTCCAACTATCTCGCACATTTCTGGTGTTTATAGAATTGCCAAGAAGGATAGATTGTTGAGAGTGATCGTCTCAACGTACCACAAAGGTGACATCAGTGACCATGGCTTGTGAAGTAGTTTTTGCAGCCAAGAACAACCTTACACAGATCCGACAACCACCATATTCCTCAGTTCTTTTTCCTCTTTCCTAAAATCAAATCCCACTTGAAAGGAAGAAGATTTTATGACGTCGACGAAATCCAAGAGAATGACACAGCTGCGGGAAAAAAAAAGGATTTCCAGGAACGCTTGCATCAATGTAAATGACGCTGGGTGAAGTGTGTCGCTCCGGAAGGGGATTACCTTGGTTAAGATTAAATGCCGAATATATTGTAGTTTACTGTTTATAGCAGCAGCTCTGACATTCTTTGATCAGACCTCGTAATTTCTACTCTATAACCACTTTACCAGAGACGCAACATTGCAATCTATCGCCACTTCCATGGCTTCCATAGGGGATGTACGGTTGAGTAATGGATAGCGGTTCGGACTGAGCCGAGTTCGAAATCCAGTCGAATCTATTACACTATTACATTGCTAATACCCTTGGCAACTGGTCTACTACGGGAAAAAAATCTGCCTCGTCAGTCATGTATCGAAAGATACATGATCATCTAAGCGTGTATTACGCATGGCACATAACTGACTGAACTCCATTCTTTCATTCCACTAGTAACGATTAGGTCACGAGTTACTACGACCACGGAATCGAATCATCCACGTTTCTCCGTATTGCAGTTATAAGAAGAATGATCCCTTCAGGCAGATTTATTCTTCAACGACTCCCACGTTCATGATTACCCGAACACTACAAACTTAACCTCTTCAAAATTAAATCTCAATTCTCATCTTGCCTACGCATATTTAATTTCTTCATCTTATCATTATCTATCTATCTATCTATCTATCTATCTATCTATCTATCTACATGGCGCGATAGGTAAATTGTCGTCATTTTTTATATTTAATTTCTTCATCTTATCATTATCTATCTATCTATCTATCTACATGGTGCGATAGGTAAATTGTCGTCATTTTTTATATTTAATTTCTTCATCTTATCATTATCTATCTATCTATCTATCTATCTATCTATCTACATGCTGCGATAGGTAAATTGTCGTCATTTTTTATATTTAATTTCTTCATCTTTTCATTATCCATCTATGCATATAACTACCTTGCTACAATGTGCGATGGATCTATCTATCTATCTACAAGGTGCGAAGGGTAAATTGTCGCCATTTATATATTTAATTTCTTCATCTTATGATTATCTATCTATCTATCTATTTATCGAGCTAGCTAGCTAGTTCAACCTGTTCTTATATATCTATCTTTCGCTTTTCATCATCTATGTATCTATACTCATATTTTATTATCTATATACCTACTGTCATCTTTTTATTATCTATCATCATCTTTTCATTATCTATCTTCATTGTTTCAATATTTATATATGCATCTATCTATCTATCTATCTATCTATCTATCTATCTATCTACCTATCTATCTATCTATCTATCTATCTATCTATCTCAGTTAATATCTAATATGTCTGTTCATATCTATCTATCTATTTCAGTCTGTTCATATCTATCTATCTATCTATCTATCTATCTATCTATCTATTCCTCTCTTCTTACTTCCATGCATTCATATCACACATCTCTTTCATTATAGCCATTTTAACAGTAAGTTTTTTTCTTGAGTGTCTCCCGAGCCATGTATTCGGTTAGCCTAAGTATAAAAAAATATTTATGGCCGACCAGTTCAACGACGGGAAGAACATTCTCAGATCGTGACATAAAAACGGAGACGAAAGAAGAATTTCGTCATCTTTACTTTAAAATTCAAGCTGTTTATTTTTTTCCTCTTCTGCTGTGCAGCTAAGTTACCCCCGGGGATTTTGGCATTTTCGATGGATTCCGCGCCTTTTCATCTCGCAGTTTCCGATTTAGCTAGTTGCAGAAGTTAAAAAGAAATCACTGTCAAGTGTTTATCGTCGATGTCTTTAATTTCTCCTTATAAATGTTCGGACTTTCTTTTGTGTTTGCGCTCGCAAGTGACGTTTTGGTATTGAGAAATAAGCGCAGCATATTTTCTGCCTAAATTGGAATTTAATTCCTCAAGTGAAAATGTCTTCTTTCCCAATTCACAGTTTGAAAGAGCGCCATGTTTAGATTCATTGGAACGCGAGCTTGGATTTATCAACGTTCAGTGATTTTGGTTTGGCTTAGAGTCTTCTGCCTCCATACGAGTATTTGCCTCAATGATAATTCTATCCATCTTCGTCTTTTCATTATCTATCTATCTATCTATCTATCTATCTAACTATCTATCTATCTATCTATCTCAACCTATTCCTATCTATCTATGCGATTCTGTTCTTATATGTTTTTCTCACTCAGTGGGTATCTATCTATCTATCTATCTATCTATCTATCTATCTATCTATCTATCTATTTATCTCAACCTACTCCTATCTATCTATGGGATTCTGTTCTTATATGTTTTTCTCACTCAGTGGGTATCTATCTATCTATCTATCTATCTATCTATCTATCTATCTATCTATCTATCTATCTATCTCAACCTACTCCTATCTATCTATGGGATTCTGTTCTTATATATTTTTCTCACTCAGTGGGTATCTATCTATCTATCTATCTATCTATCTATCTATCTATCTATCTATCTATCTATCTATCTATCTATCTCAACCTATTCCTATCTATCTATGCGATTCTGTTCTTATATGTTTTTCTCAATCTATCTATCTATCTATCTATCTATCTATCTATCTATCTATCTATCTCAACCTATTCCTATCTATCTATGCGATTCTGTTCTTATATATTTTTCTCACTCAGTGCGTATCTATCTATCTATCTATCTATCTATCTATCTATCTATCTATCTATCTCAACCTATTCCTATCTATCTATGCGATTCTGTTCTTATATATTTTTCTCACTCAGTGCGTATCTATCTATCTATCTATCTATCTATCTATCTATCTATCTATCTATCTATCTATCTATCTCAACCTATTTCTATCTATCTATACTATTCTGTTCCTATATAGTTTTCTTACTCAGTGCTTATCTATCTATCTTGGAATTCTCTTTATCATTTTCTCATTAAGTATGTATCTATTTATCTAACTATATATCTACAGAGTGCGATGGGTAATTTGTCAACATTTTTTATTTTTAATTTCTTCACGTTATCATTATCTATCTATCTATCTATCTATCTATCTATCTATCTATCTATCTATCTATCTCTTTTCATTATGTATCTACCTATCTTTCTATTCTCATGTTTTTATCATCTATATACATACCGTCATCTTTTCATTATTTATCTTCAATTTATTTTCATCTATTGTCATATTTTCATTACCTTTTTGTTTGTTCTTTTCATTATCATCATTAACCTTTCATTATCAATCTTCATTGTTTCAATATTTTTCTACGCATGTATATATCTATCTATACTTATGGTTTCATTATCTATTATCATATTTTCATTATCTATCTATCTATCTATCTATCTATCTATCTATCTATCTATCTATCTATCTCTTAGTCTGTTCCTATCTGTCTGTCTACCTACCTATCTATCTGTTCATTTCTTTCTATCTTAGCCTTTTCCTATTTATCTATTTATCTAGCTATCTATTTGTTTTTTTATAAAATGAACATCCTGAAAGAATAACCAACACGTATTTTCTATTTCAAACTTAATGTCATATTTTCTTACAGTCATTGCAATATTGTCAATCGTAGATAAAATGCGAACTTCATTTTTTTTTGTATGGGGTCTGGATACACATGAATGAATGTTAATTATTTGTTTCTTTACTTCATTTTGTCTTACGAATGCATTCATAAGAATCGCATCTTAGTACGCAAATTGGAGAAAATCTGCTGTCTCTGTAATGGAGCTGCACGATCCTCAGTTTTCAGCTTTCAAAAGTCTGATATGGGGGCTCCAGCTAGTGTTTTGTGACCTTTGCTCTCTTATCGACGTTTTCTTTTTTTCCCCACCTATTAGAATGAAATAATTACAAGCGTTTTCTTAAAGACGAAATGTCGCAAGCCTATCGTTAGTTTAGCGTTAGTTCCAAAGAAAATCTTCAGACGGACCAACGTTCATTAGCTCCAGCTGATCAGGTATTTAAAACTCTCCATACAACGTACCTACATGTAATTTTCCTCGATATTCTCTCCAGGGTATTTTTTGAACGCGGGGTGAGATGCGTTGAAAAGCCACACAATCTTCGGACCGTGGTCGACTCTAAATCGAGACGAAACTATGTAACCCTGTAGCCTTAGTTAGCAACCAGTCTAAAAGAAAAAAATATCTCTGAATTCAAACCAGCCTGGATAGGGCTGAACCTCGTTAAGGTGTCTTTCCCATGAAACACCAAAATGTTGTGGTATATGTCGTATCTCTACGACCCTAAAGTGTCACGGGATTCGTGATCGTGAAGATAACGGTGTGAGAGGTGTACAAAAAAAAAAAGAAAATATTTTTGCAACCTCTGTGTAACGTTACAGAAACATTGGAGCAACGTCACTAGTTGTGAATATTAAATATAGGTGTGTCATAGTCTTAAATTATTGAAGTATATAACATGGTGATTTCTGTCGTATAGCCACTGAAATTCAAAACAGCATGGCCTTCTTCGATCTCCTGGTGCTCTTGCTATATACTTAGTGATCCTTGCTAAAATCCAAAGAAACATTAGCACCCAGGAACCTAACCGCAAGCCGGAAGACTTGTTGCGGTTAATCTTGGCCACGTGACCTTTTCGTACAGTTCAAACGCCTTCCGAAACAATTCAGTATCGCGGCGACACGACACAAAAATGGACCCTTCATCGGCGTACGCGTTAACCTTGGCTCTAGCCTCACCAGGTACACCGATTCCACGTAGAACCGGACTGCAGGTCTCTCTGTATTGTTCGGCCCTTCATAGCAAAAGTCTGCTCAGGTCCCAACAGAATGCGTTAGTATCTTATTCAAAATATTTAACTCTCTCATTAGCAGAGTTATGAGCCTGTAATCATCTAATACCCTCACAACATTCTGGCCTTTTTTCAACAACCTGATCACACCCTTGGAGATCCGGTCGGAGATGGATTCCTCTCGGAACCAGTTGTTGAAGACGACGGTCAAAATCGGCGCAATGATGTGCAACAGACTCAACCACAATTTACAGGGCAGACCATCATGTGTCGGAAAATTGCCACTTCTGTGCCAAGCAGACTTCGCTCTCTGTGATCTCACCCTCACAGATAGCAGCTCCAGTCGGCGAAAGTTAGCCAAATAGCTGCGAAACTCTTCGTCACAGAGACCAGGCTCCTTGATAAACAGACTCTCGAAATGCCACCAAAAGACTCGCACATGTCATCATCAGAAAACGCCCATCTGTCGACCTCCAGAATTTATCGCTCGGAACCTCGATAGATCTCTTCTTTGCGCAATTCTGTGCCTATGTTCAAGGTTTCATTAGGCATCTTGTTTAGCCTATACCTAACTACATGAGCGCTCACTAGCCATGCACTAGAGAGTCTTGCTAGGTAAACCTATCTGTAGGGAAACCCCCCAGTCGCCTCTATCCTTGAGAGCATTCACCTTTTTAGCCTTCTCTGTGGGAAAGCATTGACTATATTCATGGGGTTAAGGAACTAATGTTGTCATTAATTCTCTCCCACCATTTTATTCCCAATCCCGCTTCAATATCTTTCGACAAGAACAAACTCGCCGACCAGATCAAGCAAGCTACGATAACCCGACCTCTCGTTGGCTCCCTGACCCCTCTCTATGTCGGGGTTTAGGATGGCGTTTCAGTTTCCCATTAACACTAAGCGTGACGAATCCACCAGGAACGGCCTTAGCTGATGGTAACCGAGACACTCTCCGTCTGATCGTTGGGCACATAAACTCCCCCACCCGTATCAATGTAGACAATATCCACCTTCTCACACAGTGTACGTTTAACCATCGACGGAACAACTCTAGCCAGCCAGTCCCCGTATCCTGAATAGACAACAAAGTCGCCAGACATTACACGAGCATTGACCTCGCAGCGACATCTACCCTGAAGGAAAAGAGATCACCAAGCAGGTGGTCAGCCTTACTCCGATTCCTCAAGCCCCTCGCATTCAATCTGGCTATCTTGAGAGACATTTTTCAAGTTGGATCCTCGAGTCACAGACTGGGCGGTAACCTGCGGGGACAAGGACCCCAACGGATTGTTTTAGGCTCCTTGACCGTCTCTGACGTCATCCGTCCTTCTTGGACAATGTTCCCGACGTCCGTGTGATATATTAGCTTAAGAACCCTATATAAGGAGGGATAAAGAATTCTCGGGAATGCACAGAATTTAGATCATTTTTTTTTCAATTCTGGTGGTCCAAACTGGGTTATTTGAATTTCGGGGAAGGCGTCTTTTGACTCGTAGAGGTGATTCCATATTTTGGGTCAGTATCTTTGGTTCAATCCTTAGACTCTTTAGTGCCACCTCCATTGTTTCACTGCTGACCCCATATAATTTCTGATTTTTTACATCGGTGGTCACAGGGTGATTGTTTTTGTTTTCATAACTTCTAGGGTTCCTGAAATAGTAAGACATTCATTTCCTTTTATCTGAAGTTGTGCATAATAATCGGCGTCTCTTTAGTCCACGATGTTTTTAGGGAGGTGCAGTTTGTTTCACCTGCAACGGCAGTTTTTTGAGGAAATTCCACCATGGCGGTCGGAGCTCCACAGAAACAACTAAAAAGTTCGTCGCAAAATCACAAGAATTTGTTAAATAAGCCAGCCAAAAAAAAAAAAAAAGCAAACAAACAACAACAACAACAAAAAAAAAACAACAAAAAACAACAATGCTAATTAAAAAAAAAGAAGTATGATGGAACTAAAACAAATAGAGGAAACTAAAAGAAAATAATAAATTAACCAAACTCAAGCTAGACGGGGTTTACAAAAATTACTAAAAGAAAAACAAAACTGAAAAAGAAAATTAAAAAAATATTCAAAACTCAACAAAAATTTAATGCAAAACAAATTAAACCAAAATTCTACTTGCGAAAAGTATTTTTTGTTGTGACAAACTCAACTCAACTTGTTCAGAAATACAAAAATTCGACTGCTAACCTCAGCTAGACGTATCAAGAGACGATAACTCTTCCGTATGTATAGCGATACTACTTTTTATGCAGTACCTAATTTAAATATCACTGCACATAACTTTACA